ACCATAACAGAAAGTGACTGACAAATCAAAAGACAGTATTATAATTTAATAATATGGATGGAGAGCATACAAGTAACACCAAAAATTATTGAGTGATTATATCTAGGGAACAGAATAAGTGAGGAAGGATTAGCAAAGGATAATCACTATTTTGATATATGCCTTTTGATTTTACTTGACTTTTAGATTACTTGCATGTATCCTCTGATGTTCTGCAGTTTTATTTTAATACATTTTAAGTGTAGATTTCTTTCCATTTGTCTTGCTTAAGCTATGCCATGCTTCAACAATGATTTATGTCTTTACTGTCAGAAATTAATATATTGCTTCTTCTCCCCTTCTTTTCTATTGTTTTTCTGAAACATCTACAAGAAGAATATTAGATTTTATTCTATTCTTCATGACTTTTTATCTATCAAATTTTTTTCTCAGATTCTCTGCTATATTCTGTCTGCTATACTCCTCAACTCTAGGTTTTAATTTACCAGTTCTCTCTTCAGCAGTGTCTGATAGTTGGTTGCCTGACCTGACTTTTGTGATGAATCATTTCCTCATATAATTTTTAGTTTCTGACTAGAAATTCATCTTCACTAGGGATTTACTCTGGGTTGGAAAGTGTTGCTACTGGAAGTTACATGTTTGCTTCCACCTAGTACCCCAAAAGTTTCATCAATTCCGAATCCCTTTTTATATTCATATACCTTGTTTGAGATTCCCACACTTATGTAGGTTGTCTAAATTCAGGCTACAAATCCAAATCCAACTTTAGGGTGCGATCTGTGGCTTCTATTTCCCAAGGGAGGATGTTTATTTACCCCACCTGGCCTCTCTGGCAAATAAACCTCTTTTCACCTTTGGCCATGAACTGATTTTTCTATCCCTGAAAACTCAAAAGGCAGAAACTTCCAGGCCTTAGCTATACCCAAGGGTCTTGGTATTAGCACCTGCCTCTCAAACTCAAAGCTGTAATGTAGACCTAGGGCTTATATCTCATCAGCTATCCCCTTTGGGTTGCTATGCACTAGTGGGATTTAACATTGTGGTTTTGAGTTTTCTTTTGTAGTTAGGCATTTAAAGATTCCTTTTTTATCTTTTGGACATAACTAGATACTTAATATTTTTGTTGTTGCTATGTTTTATCCATTATTGTTATGTGTCTGTTTGTGGAAGGGAGAAATGCATATTAATTAGCTCAGTCCACCACGTTTTAGAACCCAAACTATATCAATTACATTGATAAAAATAGCATAATTTTTAAACTTAGATATAACAGCATGAAAATTATACTCAAGGCAAGTAATTATGGAAACATCAGATCTTTCTAAATAATCCAGCTATGAGAAATTAGTAAAAATGTGGGCTTAGTGAAGTAATCAGACATCTTACAAAATTATTAAAATCAATAAATTTTGTCACATTGAATATGAATCAATAGTGTTTTGAAAGTATTCTTCATAACTTAAACTTTACTTCTCTACTGATTTTATTATAAAACATTTCCTAGAACTTCTTACTTTCTGTCATACTAAATATAATTGCCATCAAGTTCTACCTTATTCATTATACCTAGAGCCTGAGAAGTATAAATAAACTCTCAAGCAATCCAAAGAGTGTTACCTACCCCAAAGGTTCTAGTGTGGTGCCCAGATTAGGAGCATAAACATCACCTGGAAGAGTCTTAGAAATGTAAAGTCTCAGGCTCCAACCAGACCCTTCTGCATCAAAATCCCCCCTTGGGACAAGGCAATTTGTGTTTCAACAAGCTCTCCAAGTGATTCTGATGCATGGAAAAATTTGACTATAGACCAGTGGCTCCCAAACTACTCTCCATAAAACTTATTGAGTACATCTCAATCAGTCAAAGCCTGGACAGGGAGAGATCAGAGAGATGCCTAGCATGCAAAATTTAAGGAGGTACTCACTCTCAGGGTCCTACAGATACTGCATAACCCTGAGAGTGACAGACTCCTTAAATTCTGCACCCCTGTTCTACACCTGTAATTAGTAATTAAATGACTTTAAGTAGTGTAATGACTTTTCTTTCCTTGCCCATTTTACAGAGACCAACTGAAATGCCTAAAAAGATACACATGAGAAAAGATCAGAGAATAAACATGTATGAGTAACTCTCAAACTGCACAAACACTGAATAATCAGTACTTGGCTATATCATGTACTGTTTCTTACTCCAAGTAATGTATTATGCAATGAAGACTGTTAAACACTAAAAATATGAGCTATGGCAACCTCAGAAGCACTGTAGGGATGTATCTGATATGTACTATTTCTTCAACATCAAATCTTAATAAACTTTTTATAATAAAGGTCTAAACTATCTAAAATGCAAGGACTGGAATATCTTTAATGTTCAGACTGTTAGCTATGGAGTCCTAGGGTTTGGGGAAGAAATCTCAGGGGTCGTTGTAGAAGTTGCTCCAATCCTCACCCCAGCTTCAACCGAAGTGGCTCCATAGATTTAAACCTACTTTTTACAGAACAGTCTGCTCGGAGGCAGGGTTCTACTGATGGGAAAAAGTTTTAACCTTATAATGTGATGAATTCAATATTAGGACCTTTAATCTTATCCTAAAAATCTGCAAGAAATATAGCAGAAAATTTTTTTTTGAGCTGTGCAAGCAGGAAAGTTTATTAGTGAGAGTGGGTGAGCTTGAGGGACAGCTGCCATAGCAGACATACTATTAACAACACTGAGTAGAGATCATATGGTCTATCCTGAGAAATATCAGAATTCAGTTGTGATATGAAAAACTGACAGATCACAACAAATAGGAGTAGTGCTCCCACTCTTTTGTAAACTTTGGAAACATTTCTTTGAATACAATTTTAGAACCAAGTCCACAAAATAAAAATAGAGCTAATCTGATTAAAAGGTAAGGATGAGACAGCTTTTCTCCTCCCAATCAGTCTTCCTCTGCCCGCTTCCTAGAATACCACCCCTTTCCCACCAGTGTCCTCCCACCACACACAAACACACGGTAGCCCTGGAAGAACCACCACAGAAACACCATGAAAAGGTAAAGCCAAAGTAGCAAATCACTTTATCTAGATTAAATAGAGATATCCATTTTTAAATATTCACCATGTAGAAATTTACCACAATAAAGTTCATATCCAGTTTTTTATAAAGAGAAAAAAGTATATCAATTAAAATTTTAAGTATACAACACATAAATACTAAATACACTAAATACTAAAGTACTAAGAAATCAGCTGATTTTTTTAAGGAATCATGAGTTGCTATTATTGAGAAAAGCAGAAAACAGTCAAGGCAATGAAATGCTGTTAGTTTCTAAACACTACACTTCTACTTATAAGAACAAAATGCCTGACTAGTCTAAATTTACTGACAAACTTCCTCCCTCTTGTTTGGGATATCAACAGATAGTTTGTTCAAGATGTTTAGCATGACTTATCATACTCTTTCATCTTGAAAAATCTTACATAACAATAAAATATTCTAAAATAGGAAAGGCTTAGTTGATCTAGTAGCAGGAACAATATAATTACATACAGCATTTCACCAAGCCCTCATATGTACAAACACATGATTTTCTTTACTAAGTTATATTTTCAAATATACACTGTACTGTGATCACATTTCACATATAATGTTCTTAATCACTGATAGGATCTCTTATAACCACAAACTGTGTCAGAGAGAAAGTTTATTTCAGTATTTATAGTTGGAAATATAAATGTTTAAGTAATACAATATTTTATGTGAGTTACCTCAATCTAAATATTTACTTAAATTCTACCAAATTTTACTTAAATTCTACTAAAACTGCACTGCTGACATTTGCAACCAATCAAAAGTAATGTCTTGTGTTCTTTGCATATTCATGAACACTGAAAAAAATACACAATTAACCTAAGAAATTCTACTTGAAGCATTTTAAGGGCCTCAAAAACTATTAACAAAAATATACTCTAAGAGCTGTATTGGGCCTTAATTTTATCATTTCAGAGGTAAAAGAGCAGGGAACTTATCTTTGACCTTTGAAATCATCAATGTATCAAGCAATTCTTCTCCCATTGTAATTACAAAAATGTAATAATGTAGCTCTTATAAAGCATACATACACATATATTCCTAAACAACTTTAAGTTCTTATATGAAATCTTTTTTTACAAGACACTTTTTTCTGAAGAAAATCTCTATTCATATTTGAAAGAAACCTATACTTTGCAAAATTTGGCTGTTCACTGAACATAAGAATGACACAGTATAATTAACAACATAATAAAATAAAATTAGAAAAAAAAAAAAGAATGAGACAATTAAAAAAAAAAAGCCAAACATTAAGATGTTAACAATGCTAGGTCAAAAACAAACAAACAAACAAACAAAAAAGAAAACAAAAACAATTTCACTATTATAGGAAAGAAAATCTTGAATACAATTTTAAAATATCAGTTTCTAGAAAGGTAGAATTCAAGTAAGAATAAAGTAATTCAGTAAATATTTCAATTTATCGTTTTACAGGCCTTTGTCTAATGCATAAAGCATTTTATTTCTGAGTTCTAGAGTTTTTAAAGAAATGACAAACACTGAGTTATTCCAACTCTTTCTTTTAAACTCTTCTTTTAAAGAATAAGAAATTAATTTCAAGTAGATTTCCTTTAGCTTCCAATTTAACTAAATTAGGTAGGCAAAGATTTACAAAAGCACTCTTGATGTTTTTATAAGTATTTTAAATAATATTGATAAGTATTTGGTAATTTAAGTGAAATTTTAAATGATAAATTTAGAATAAAAATATTCATTTCAAAGACATTACCTAAATAAAATACCATTTTTGTTTTTCATTCTAACTGCAAAATAATGCAGAATAATCTTTCATTACAAATAAAAAAACAATTTAAAGATAAAATTATGTTTAGAATGTACTTTTGAAGAGACAGGATAAAATAATTTATAACACATAATAAAACAGAGCTATAAAATGCCAAAAAAATATAAAAGAAATTGCACTTACATCCATAGCTCTCTTAATAAAAGGTATCTGTGTGCCACTGTCCAGATCTTCATTTATAATAAGCCTTCTAGCCCACTGACCTGCCCTGACAACACCACTACCATGAATTAAAACCATCAGTTTCTGTGGATTTGTCAAAGCATCCTCACTCATAAAGATAAAACTCTTTGGTTCACTCTCAGTGGCATCTACCTGTAATTAAAAAAAAATTAAATAATAAATAAATGTTTTCTGGTCAGGCATAGACATAAATGAGAAAACAACTAATGGTTACCATAAATTACAGAATGGCTATTTCAGAATTATAGAAGTAAAAAAGCTTTAAAAATTAAAATATTCATTAGACATTAACAACTACATATGAGATGGATTAGCATAAAAGACATGATAGTAATAGGACAAACGAATAATGGAAATACATCTCCCTATATTATTGATGGACTTTTATATTATAATATAAATAAGAATAACTGATTTTTTGAGTGCTTCCTATGGTGTAGATACTATGCTAAATGTTTTAAAAACATTATCTCAAACACAGTCTCATTAAAGTGGTATTATTATTATCTTCATTTATAGATGAAGAAATTGAGGCCTAGAGAGTTTAAATAACTTGCCTAAGATCACAGAACTAGAGTCTATAATTCTATAACAGAAGTATATTGCATCTATAATAGAAAACAGAAAAACCCAACTGGAGCGTATACCTGTTGGAAAATCGTATATTAGCCAGGAATACTACTAAGCTTTTAAAAGACGGGAGAGGGAACTATTTAAAAACTCAATCACCTACTATTCTATGTAAATGGTCTTTGAAATTTCATTCATAATTTGAACATAGGCTCATATCACAAGTATTTTATGAAGGAATATTATTTATGTATTCCTATAACTTTATTTTATATACTAAATATTTATAGGATGAGAATTTTATATATTTTATGTAGTACTTATTTATGGAATGAATATTTTATACATTTTGATTGTACTTAATGTTTAGGTTTAAACCAGATGATGTATGTTTTAGATTTGAGAAACTCAAAAGACTTACAAAAAGATAACTTCTCAACCTTTATACATGACTGATCGCTGGCACTGAATGGTATTCCACATCAGCAGTGGCCAGTAACTGGGAATGGAAGCTTTTGTGCAGCCATGTCAGAGCCAGAAGCTAAAGTCTTGATGGCTGGTAATACACAGACTCACATAGAAATTTCAGTCCACATCCTGTGTAATGAAATAGTTCTTCACTTCTTCAACAGTATATATTCATAAAATTATGAAACTAAAAAATAGACAAAAACTTTAGATACCAAAAAAAAAAAAAAAAAAAGTCCTGGACCTAAATGTTCCCAGTCACTATTCCTGGGAAGAGAAAAAAATTAAAATTTCTTTAATTCTAAAACAAACAGATCAGTGGCCATTTGTTTAAACAGCACAAAGGGCAATTATTTCAGCAAGAAGAGCACAGCCACAGGGCTTAAAAATATATCCTCTCCTCAGGGAAGCTTTTCCTGACTACCCCATTTAAACTCTCCCCAAGAATTCCCTAGTACCTTCATAGCATATACCACAATCTAATGTATGTTTTACTTTATAAATTTGTTTATGTAACTGTTTATTAACCATCTCCTCCCACCGCCAGAATGCAAATCCAGGAAGGCATGGACTTTTGTTTGTATCCAGCTACATTCCCAATGTCTAAAAGAGAGGCTGGCACATTGTAGGCACTCAGTAAATAAAGGAATGAATAAACTTTTAGAATAAGGAATGTTATCTAGCATCACCAGTGGCCTCCTTTAAATAAAAGGCATTTAACTAAATAATGTGTCCTCTTAACTTGTTACAATACTTGCCTGGTTCAGAAAGCATATATTGAAGATTAAACTAATATATGACTGTAAAGAATTTTAAAAGAGCTACACAGTGCTAAAATGGCATAAGTGTATATTAGTAGTAATTAAGTATGCAGTAAATGAAGTATGAAATGTAAAACAGTCACATTAGCTTCTCTTGCACGTGATGTCCAGAGTAAGCAAATTATGATGATGACAGCAGGTATGACTTAAGTCAGAGGAAGGGAAATAGATGAGAGATGGGGAAAACCAAATCTGAGAAGAAAAATTCCCTTTTACCTATGAATGTTATATGAAAACAGAGGAATCACTCAGTTAAAATGGCTTTTTAAAAAAGAAAAGTGATAAGAACAAAAGAAAAAATTAAAAAGCAAAGCTGTCAATGCATAATAAACAAGAGGCCACAGAGGTGTCTAGTCATTCATTTACCAAAGAGTACGTCTAAATGTGCACAAATAAAAGTACCTCTTAAAATCATTGAGGCCTTAATGGATCCAGGAATGCTATGGAAATGGACATCTGTTTGTCTTAATAAGAAGAAACCCTGTACCTATAGACTTTCCAGTAGGTGCTGTTCACTATTTCTTTTCTCTATTTGACTAAGTCCCCTGTTACCAAGGAGCTGAGTCAATTTTTTAAGCAATGGAATGTTGGCACTTTAAATTCCATAGTAATCACTTTAAAACTGGAAGAGTGATTAATTTCAGAAGATAAAAATGTGTGTTTTATATTAAAATGCCGTTCAAAAATATTTAAGGGCTGCAAATTAAGGTAGCCATGAATAAATGAATAAAAGTTTTACTTGAACATGCAGAAGAACTGACTTTAAAAACATGATAACATCAGAATATTTAAGGAAAAAAACAATGAAAATGAAAAATGTAGTGGTATTAATGATTAAGGAGTAAGAGCAGTATTTCGGATGGTCATTGGCTTATATTCACCTCAATTTAACACAGAACTCTGAAGTTGGTATCTACAACTTACTCTGTAAAAAGTTAGTACTAAGTTTAAATACTAAAATATGTGTATGAATAAAACATAATTTTCGGCATTAGCTTAACTGAGTTTGAAAACGGCTGTTCCAAGGCCATTGTCTTCAAACAGCGCTAATTCCCTAAACTGAGCTTTCATTAAGGAATGCATATAAAAGTCATTGTAGTGCACCACCTAACTTTATTAACCAATCAACTTCAAAGAACAACTGATCAATGAGAACAAACAATTTTTAGCAGTTAACAATTCACTTTAGGATACTCATGAACCCCACTAATTGTGATGATCATTTAAACATGGCTGAATAAAATGAATGAAAATTTATAATCAGGTTATTATGTTAATTTATGTAATTTGAAGTTCTACACAAATGTACGATACTATAATTGAGAATAATTTGTACATGAGCATATATGTAAGGTATGGAGTAAACATGGGACATGATCATGATCTTTACCATCAAATCATAGGTTTCCACAGGGTGCTGTTATTTACAAAAAGGAAAGGAAAGGAAAGGA